AAGACAGGCTCTCACGTGGAGCCCACTGCACATCAGGCTGAGCTTGAGCTCACAGAGATCCACCTCATCAAAAATCCAGAAGTTGTCCATTTGTTTCTTGCTAGTCCACTCCCCACCAGGTGGAGCATGACACCCCGAAGGGTAGGAGAGGGATGAGAAACTGGCCCCTTGCCTCCACCAGGAGGCCACCCAGGACTTCTATCTGGCAGGAGAACGAAAGGGCAGAAGGACACTTCCCTCGTAACAGGGCTGAAGGCAGCCCAGAGCCCATAGTTATTAGTGTTTCTGGCATCTGTCCCCGGAAGAAGCCACCCAGAAGCCTAATGACTTGGTGGAGGCAGGAGGTGCCTGTCAGTTTTAAGTCTGAGGTGGCATAGATGGGAAGGTAGGCCACCCAGACTCTGGCCAGGGGACCCAGAGGAACTCCTCAGAGCCTGCACTCGGAATGCCACACTTCCCATTACACAGGAACTGCCCATTTCACTGCTGGGAGTCTGAGTTCTGGGCCTTGTCCACTCCAGCGGTAGGCCGCTGCTGTCCCTTTCTGGGCCCTGGGGTCTGCCTTCAACCTAGGAAACAAGCCTCTTCCAGAGCTGTGGCTGAGTGGGGCCCAGGGGAGTGGGAGGAGCAAAGGCTTGGGACTGATCACTGTGCAGTGGCAGTTCCTTTCCAACAGGCCTGTGTTGTCCTTGCACCCTCTAGTGGAAGAGAAGGTGAAGGAGCAGCTAGAGGCTGCCAAGCCCGAGCCTGTCATTGAGGAAGTGGTGAGTACCTGGGTGGCCCCACTCCCTGCTGTGCCGCTTCCCTCTCTAGATGTCTCTATTCCCACCCCACGCCACTTCCTTGCCTGTCTTCAGTTTTCCGCCTCTGTGGCCTGTCTCTCCACTCCCCTGAGGCTGGGGCTTGGCCCTGACGAGTTGTCTCCTGTCTCCCTAGGACCTGGCCAACCTGGCACCCCGGAAACCTGATTGGTAAGTGTTGTCCATGCAGGCTCTTTGGAGGGATGGTGTGTGTCATGGGTCTCTGCTGGGAGGACAGCCAGGGACAGGTTGGGGACAGCAGTGCAGGCATAGATGGGCATGGGAGAGTCAGAAGTAAGGGCGAAGCAAGGCGTGAGTGAGGGCGAAGTGCTGAAGGGGGCCTCAGGGGGAAAGAGCAGCTGCCCCTCCAAACCTTCTATGGGGGAAAACTCACCTGCTCTGGGGACCAATCTGAGCAGTGCACTCCTTTGTGCTCAGGAGACCACAGTGAAAAGAGTGGATGGACAAACAGACATGAGTTTATATCCCTGCTTTGACTGTAAAATGGGATACCCAGTCTCTTCAAGTCTGGAAGCCTGTAAGGTGTAGGCAGATTTTTCTTTGGGCTGCCAGCTCACAAAAAACAACATGGAGATTTATTATTAATTATGAAAGCTCAGCCTTAGCTTAGGCTTCTTTCGTACTAGCTCTTATAACTTAAATTAATCTACATGCTGCCACATGGCTCATGGCTTTTACCTCTCCTCCTGCATGTCCTGCTTCCTCTGTGTCTGGCTGGCGACTGTCTTTCTTCTTCCCTGAGACCTCTCTGTCCCCAGAAGTCCCGCCTAACCTCTTCCTGCCTGGCTATTGGTCATTCAACTCTTTATTAAACCTATCAAGTGACCCATCTTCACACAGTGTAAAGGAGTATTCCACAACAGCAAGGTCCTCCGACTGAGCTGAGAAAGTGGGTGAGGAGGGTGCTGTAGGCTGTGGTGCGTAGCTCTGGGCCTTGAGCCGGAGGCCGAGGCTGACCTCCTTGCCTGCAGGTCCGTGTGGCTGCAGCACCTGCTACGACGCTTTAACTTGATGAAACAGGCATGAGGTGTGTGTTGCAGGAACCTCAGAACCAGAGAGCTCAGGCTGAATTCATGTGCACATCTGGAAGCCCTAGGTGTGGGAGGGTGGCTGTGGCGGGAGATGGAGCAGGGCTGACAGCTGGCCAAGCGCGTCCCCCCCTGATGCTGGCTTAGAGAATGTAACAGGACCGTTGGGTCTCAGCTGGTCTCAGCTAAGCTAAGTACACATCTGCTTAGCTTAGTTAGCTCAGTGGACCTGGAGAGAAGCCCAGAAGAGCAGAGAAGACCATCTCCCCAGAGCAGCCCCTCAGACATCTGAGGATATAAATGCTGAAATACTACAGGAAGACTCCAGGGCAACACCATGCAAATCCTTAGCGTCCCAATTCCCCCTCTTCCCTGTTCCAGGGATCTCAAGAGGGATGTGGCCAAGAAGCTGGAGAAACTAGAAAAGCGGACCCAGAGAGCCATTGCAGAGCTGATCCGTAAGCGTGGTCTGGCCAGCGGGGTCCTGCCCTCAGGATGGTGGAGTAACACAGGGCTTTTAACTCTGGTTTGCTCTCTATTCAGGTGAACGGCTAAAAGGCCAGGAAGACAGCCTGGCCTCTGCAGTGGATGCCACCACAGGACAAGAGGCCTGTGACTCTGACTGATGTGTTCTCCGTGTCCCATCTGCCCAGCACACATGTCCTGCGGGAAGATAGTCTTAGGCAGGAGTAGAGTTAGGCTGGCCAGCACTTCCGGGTCTCAAGAACTAAGCCAGCCCACTCTCAACCTCTGTGGGGTGAGGTCAGCTCATCTCCAGGGTGCCCACCACCCTGAGTGGGTCAGAGCTAGGTCTGTACATATGTGTGTATATTGTGCTTTTTTTTTTAACTTTGGAAATAGAGACAAGTAAACTCCCATGTAGTAGAGGGCTCTCATTGTTTGCTGTTTGCTAGGTCTCTGGGTTTGGACTCTTAGAATGCAGAGGTGATGCTCAGTGTGCGTATTACCCCTGGGTTGGGCCAGCTTTGTTGAGGCTGGAGGGGCGGGCAGGGGCCAAGACTGCCTCCTGGCTCCAGATCTCTAGTCACAGTCAGCAGTGGTCACCTCAGAACCCTCAGGCCACAGATACAGGGACAGCGAGTGTCCTCTTGGGACCTCCTGGCCACCCCCCAACCCCGAGCCCTGTAGTAGTCTATAGGAACGCTGGAGAGACTCCATAAAGGTCCTCTGGACCCTCCCCGTGTGAGAGGGAGGGGGTGGGCTCTGACAGATTTCCACAGCGAACTGCTGCAGATTCGAGGCCCCCACACTACTTCCCTGACTCTTCTCTGCCACCGGTGGTGCATCTCTTTCTCTGTCTGTGTGACAGCAGTTACCTGTAATCCCAGCACTCAGGAAGGAGGCAGGAGGATCAAGAGTTCAAGGGCATCCTTATCTCCATGAGTGTGAGGTCATCCTGGGCTACAGACCCTGTCTCAGAAAGGAGAGGAAAGGTGGCTGGTGGGGGCGGGGGATGGGAGACGAGAGAGGGGAGAGGGGAGAAGGGAGAGGAGATGTAAGGGAAGGGACAGTTAGGAGGAGACTGTTAGGTCTGTGTGGCTCAGAGTGAGGGCTGCAGTGGCACTGAGTAGGCAGCCGGGCTAGGGTTCTGGTCCCCTCTGAAGACAGACCAGCTTGGCCAGAGTCGTCAGGAGCGGAGGTAGGAATGAAGGTTGAAACGCTCCCGATACCATCTGGATCTCAGTGGCAACAGGAACCTCGTCTGTGGCCGTGGAGTCAGACTCCAGGTGCCTGGGAATCCCTGCAGCCCCGGCCTAGGGCTAGACTACTGCTCAGAAAGCTAACAAAGGTGGAGTGTCTCAATCTGTGACCTGTGGGGACTTGACCAAGAAACTGCCCGGTAAGAAAAGAGAAAGACAAAGCTGCCACGCTGATACACATTCTGACAAGAGCCACGAAAATGAAATTCTTTGCCAGGCATGTTGGGAGTCTGAAGCAGGAGTTGTTAAAAGACTGCCTGGGCTACACAGGGAGGCCTCATCTTAGAAAAAAACTGTCTGAGGATGTGGGCCTCGGTTGTTAGGTGTTTGCTTAGTGTGCATGAAGCCTGGATTCACTCCCTGTCACCACATGAAGCAGGTGTACTTGGGTGTACATAGAGCAAGAGGATCAGTGCTATCCTCGGCTACGAAGTGAGTACAGGGCCAGCCTGGACTACATGAGACCCTATCTCAAAAAAAGGGAGGAGGGAGAGGCAGTAAGATGGCTCAGCAGGTAAAGGCGGCCCTTGCCATGGAAACTGCTGACCCAGAATCATATTGTGGACTTGGTTCTCCTGCTCCTGGTCCTCTGAGATCTGAGCACACAGGGTATAGAGGTGCGGGGGATGCACATGCACACACAGAGATCTCATTTAAAAACTTTGGGTTTGTTGAGACAGGGTTTCTCTGTGTAGCCTTGAAAGTCTTGGTACTTGCTCTGTAGACTAGGCTGGCCTCAAACTCAAGAGATCCGCCTGTCTCTGCCTCCCAAGTGCTAGGACTGAAGGTGTGTGCCACCATGCCCAGCTCTCATTTAAAAAATTTAAAGTCGCCAGGCGGTGTTAGCACATGCCTTTAATCTCAGCACTTGGGAGGCAGAGCTGGGTGGATCTCTGTGAGTTTGAGGCCAGCTTGGTCTACAGAGCGAGATCCAAGACAGGCACCAAAACTACACAGAAACCCTGTATTGAAAAACCAAAATGAATGAATGAATGAATGAATGAATGAATGTTTGGAGTCTAGTACCCAAAAGAGCGAGATCCAGGACAGGCACCAAAACTACACAGAAACCCTGTCTTGAAAAACATAGATGATAGATAGATAGATAGATAGATAGATAGATAGATAGATAGATAGGTAGGTAGGTAGGTAGGTAGGTAGGTAGGTAGATAGATAGATAGATAGATAGATAGATAGATAGATAGATAGATAGATAGATAGATAGATAAATGTTTGAAGTCTAGTACCCAAAAGAGTAGCTAATAATCCAGTAGTGGGTAGACTGGAATCATTAATCTTTTATGTGTCTGCACCACATCTATTCGTGGTGCCCATAGAAGCCAGAAGAGGGCATCAGATCCCCTGGACCTGGAGTTACAGGTGGTTGGTTATAAGTGAAAGGAAATTTATAGCCAAGGAAACTGAAACAGTAGCTTTAAAATGAGTGTTTTATTATCAGAGAAGTGAGGTGTCCCATCCCCCATAACTCAACAAGAATCAGATGTAAGAACTGATTAGAAATCTTGAAAAGTAGCTCCGAATGGCATTACACACCTGTAATCCCAGGTCTCTTAGATGGAGGCAGGAAGCTGAGGCCAGCCTGGGCTGTAGGGAGATGGTGTCTTGGAAGAGGAAAGCCTAACCGCAGATTGAAAGGAAAGGGACTGGCAGCGCTCTGGTGAGCACAGGACTGGCCAAAGCAGCAAAGATGGCTGGGGGAACGTCAGTGCAGTGGAGACCTGCAGACACAGTGCTCTTAGCTACACCCATGTGCTGGGTGTAGGGATCAGGTTTGCACGAGGTGGTGGCAGATAACGAGACCACTTCCGAAAGTTGCGTGTGATTACCCTGACCCTCAGTGTACTGGTGAACTGTTACACGTGCATACCAGGAGACAGGCCAGGAGTGTTCATAGAAGCGTGATAACACATGCATGCACACTTGAAGCAATCTGAGATGTGAATCCCTTTTGTGTGACCCCGACCCCCTGCTTTGCCCTCTCATGGTGGCATCTGCACTCACCTCAAGTCCCATCCGACACACTCGCTCTGACTAGTTGGTCCTAATGTATCAGGGCTCCTGCAAGCTGAAGGACGTAAGGAGGCCAGGGGAATGAGGGTGGTTTAAACTAGGCACATGGCCTGTGACTGAAAGGAAGGCAGCCAGCAATGCTTTGCTCAGGGATGTAGGATAGCAGCAAATAAACTGGCGTCTTTTGGAAAGCTCAGTAAGGCTGACTGTTGGGCAAGACTGACAGAAGACATTTAAGTACCAGGAATGAAAGGAGTCATAGTTCACAGGCATCAGAGTTCAAAAAGTATGTTCTGTACCTAAAAGGATAAGCCAGGGCTGGTGAGATGGCTCAGCGGGTCAGAGCACACGAAGGTGGAAGAACTGACTGCACAAAGGTGTCCTCTGACCTCTGCACACATGCCAAGGCGTGTGCACCCCTCCCCCCCAGACACACGTGAGGTGAAGCTTTCTTTTAAATATATGGGTGTTTTGCCTGCACATGCCTGTGTACCACATATGTGCCCAGTGCCTGACAAGGCCGGAAGAGGGTATCAGATCCACTAAAACTGGAGTTACAGATGGTTGTGAGGCCCAATGTGGGTGCTGGGAATTGAACCGAGTCTTCTGAAGGAACAGCTAGTGCTCTTAACCACTCAGCCATCTCTCTAGCCCCTAAAATTTATTTAAAAACAGAACAAAAACCTAGTTTAGTGGCTTATGCCAATAATTTCATCACTCGAGGCTAAGGCAGGAAGATTGCTGTGAGTTCAGGGCCAGCCAGGACTATACATGGGTTCTAAGTCAGCCTGAGCTATTGTAAAACCTTGTCTCGGGGAAAAAATGGAGCCATTGAGTGCTCAGCAGCTGAAGGGGGTCGCCCTCAAGCCTGACAACCAGGCCTCAATTCTGGGGTCCCACATGGTAGAAGAGAACTGATTCCCTCCCACTAGTTTGTCCCAATCGGCTCTGTGTTTCTTATTTAATAAGATGGTTGGTTACATCTACACTCATGCCACACTAGAGTACACACACACACACACACACCATTAAATTACAAAAGCTAAAGGCCTCAATTCTGGGGTCCCACATGGTAGAAGAGAACTGATTCCCTCCCACTAGTTTGTCCCAATCGGCTCTATGTTTCTTATTTAATAAGATGGTTGGTTACATTTACACTCATGCCACACTAGAGTACACATACACACACACACACACACACACACACACACACACACACACACACACACACACACACACACACACACACACACACACACACACACCATTAAATTACAAAAGCTAAAGACCACTTTTCCCAGAACCTCCAGCGCCCCAAGAGGCTTCTCAGCCAAGAAGAGACACCAAGAATGAGACTTGGTGTCGCCAGGGCCTGTAATTCCCCACTTCCGCACATGGCCACTGGGTGGCAGCAGGCGACACCAGACTGGTTGCCTAAATCATAGTTCAGCACAGCCTGCACTCCTGTGGCCACCAACATAGCCGGATACTCCACCACGTGGAACACTCCTCTTCCCCATGGACTTGTGTCCCATGAAGTAGCTGGGCATCAGAGATGGTAAAGAGTGGGATTCAGGTCATCTGAACCCAGAATGATGGTGACCATGTCCTGGGGAGGGCAGGTCCCAGGACCAGGCAGGCCAGTCTGGGGAGTCTTCAAGTGTCCTAATCCTAAGGACAAGTTCAGCCCTTCCAGGCCCGCCATTCTTGCTTCTCCTTGAGCTGGGGAGTCCACTTCACATGGTGTATGTGGGTGTGGGTGTGTCTGTGAGCTCATAGGATACTTGAAGATAAGGACTTCCAGAAAACCTGACTGGAGAAAGGCACCGTTCCCATGCACAGGCTGACATGGCATCCTCTCACCTTGCCCTGAACACTGCTTACTGTTAACCCAGTGGGGTGGTGAGCTTGCCCACCAGATGGCTCCACATTGGCAGAACTAGGCTGTCCACAGAGTGGGAGGACATGCTGGCTACTCCTTTCTAGACTCAGACCTGGCCTCAGGCTCACTCAGCTGTGAACCAAGCAGGGTATCAGAGCTAAGTTTTCTAGCCAGCCTGCCTCTTCCGTATGTATTTCTGGTTTTCTTTAAATGTTCCCATTACTCAGGCCTTCAGTGGGCACTGAGACAGAAATAAATCCCACAAGGCATCCCAGCCAGAAGCCGGGAATCCGATTCTCCCTCAAAGGCCGGAAGAGGCTCCTGTGCAGAGCATGCCAGACCACAGTGGCCCACACACTCCACATGGCCAGAAATATACCCCCTCCATGCACACACACATGCACAGCCTTACATACGTTTCCCACACACAGTGGCTTCATACACATGCATATACAGGTATTCGTGCACATGCAAGCATTCTGATTTGCCTCACACAGAAGTACCCCATACGCATTTATAGGTTCGTTGTATGTACTCATGCACACACTCCCTAAAAGGCTAACATCTAGTAGTGACCACACACTCGGTCCCAAACCCAGCCATTCTCAAGGTAATGGTAGGCAAGAGAAGCAAGGCTAAAGAGGCTGAAGGAGGAGGCTGGCCCTCTGCAGCTTAGGAGGAGAGTGGCCTCATGGGAATCCTGGTCTAAGTTTGCCAGGGCTTCTGAATTTTTAAGAGAAGCTGGAAAGCTGAATTTTTATGTGAAATATCCTGATTTTTAAATGTTGGCTCAAGATGTTGAAAATACTGGGAGAGCCAAACCAAACATGTCTAAGAGCCAAATTCCACCCACAGGCGGCATTCGCAGACCACGGGTACACACACAAAGATCACACGTACACAGACACACATACAAACAAAAAGACACTGGTATGTAGTCTCCCGGATGCACCAGAAGACACAGATATTCACAGAGACATACAGACACACACAAACATAAATGTACACTGACACATTCAAACACAGGTATACACGCCAACAGAACCACAAGCAGACACAAATAACAAATAAATACCCAAGTTCACACATGCCCACAAATACACATAGAAACTCATGCACAATGCACCCTTCTATCCTAGTGGTATAGGTGGTCTTCCTGGGGCATGTAGTGTAGCAGCATGGTTTTTGGACAAGAACTATTGTGTGGTCCATGCCAATTACTCTTTGCCTCGCAAATGCTGTGAAGTCTGGGTCAGGCTGACTTGGATTGACAGGTACTTCACGTGACTAGTAGAGGTGTTCTGGCAAGGGGCTTCCTGTGTCGGGAAGTGATCGGATCCACAGACATTGATGAAGGAGTAGGTCTAGGGTGGCCCAGAGCCCACCTTCTCATGTCCCAGAACCCTTCCGTCCTCCAGCCGAGCCTTAAAGCCTCCCTGCCTGCAGGATAGTGATGTTGAAGTGGGAAGCTGTGGATGATTCACCCTGCATCCTGAAGGGCTGCCGTTCTGCCCATGGCAGGAAGATGAGAGCCCTGTCCAGGGAGCTGAAACAGCCGGGGGAAAACCTTGAGAGTGAGGTGGGGTTCTGAGTCCGTTCAGGTCGGGAAAGCCGAGCAGGCCTGACCTCCAAGAAGCCCAGGCTTGCCCAGGGTGACACATATACACATAGCCAGCCAGGGCCTAGGCCCCGCTGGACACCATAGCCCCTTTCCCCACTGCCTCTCTTGACCAGTGGGACCAGCCCCACCAAACCAAGGGTTATTTCAGTTTGCTGTGGTAGCTTCAGGCTGGGATCATTCTGTGGTTGACCAAGAAGGCATCAAGGACAAGGAGAGAGCTGGACCCAGCCTGGTTGTGTTGAAGTTAGACCACAAGCCCCACATCCCTAGTCCCAAGCCTGTTCCCCAGAGCCAGTGACCTCTCAGGACCCTGGAGCAGGACTGTGTCTCATCACAGATACTCAGCAAGGCTGAGTTCCCTCGGACTCCTGGACATGGTCATATCCCTCTTGAACCTCCAGAGAACTCAGGACCCTCCCTCTGCTCTGTCCTGTCACCTCCCTGGGGTGAGGACTGGAGAACGTGGACTACCATGGTCTGCCCATGGCAGCCTGCAGGCCAGGTGACCCCCTGGCCTGGTCTTGAGTAGGGCTTGCAGGCTGCTGGTGGGCAGCAATGGAAATTGTAGTCCCATGATTCCATTCTGAGCTGGCAGCTGTAGGCTTAGCCCTACCAGAGGCCCGGCTGTGTGTCTTCCCTCAGAGTGGAAGGGGCTTTTGTTTTGTTTTTGTTTTTTTGAGGTAGGATTTCTCTGTGTAGCCCTGGCTGTCCTGGAACTCTCTCTGTAGGCCAGGCTGGCCTTGAACTCAGAGATCCACCTGCCTCTGCCTCTCAGGTGCTGGGATTCAAGGTATGCACCACCATGCCCTGCAACTTGTAAGGATCTTTAGAGCTGCTCTCCCAGCTAGTGCTGAGGAGATGGACCCAAAGAGAGTTAGAGCCTCTTGGCAGGCTCAAGGCAGGTGAGAGTTGGACCTGGCCACCTTGCTGACCAGATCTAGAGTCCAGTGGATCCTGTGAGGGGCCTGGATAATGGACTATGGAAGCAGTGGACCGGGGTCTCCCAATACCCTCCCCCTCGTCTCCTCACTGGCCAGCCCTGGTTCTGTTTATGTGTTCCCTGTGGCTTGGCTGGGCTGCGGGGCCTTGCAGGGAGAAATAACCACCTGGCTCCAGTGGCTGTTCAAGGCAAACAGGGCCCTGACCATCTGCCAGGCCTGCTGAGGGCTCCCACTTCTGCCAACACCTGGACAGCCCAGGTGGGACTTGGGGGCATCTGAGTGAAGGCCAGCCTAGGGCCAGAAGCTCCCAGTCCAGAGTCAGGGAGCTGGTCCTGGATGATGATTTTAGACTGCTTATGTGGAGGCCAGTTCTGTTGTAGACATCCAGCCAGGGGGAAGCAATACCCAACCCAAACAGTAAAGCATGGCCGCTCCCATCCTGGGTACAGATATCCTAAGGAGGCTGCTGGTCTTGGCTGAAGAGGTATCCAACTGAATGTAGGAGGTATGGTCTGACCTGGGTACATGATGCAAGATGGAATCTTAGGGCATCCGACCCTCTATAAAGGAAAACTACAGCCCTATCTTGGGAGCCCAAATGGAAGATAACTGGGTGGGGAGACACAGCCTGGCCAGGGGGTGCTATCTGAATGTTTCCAGTTAAGTGAGCCCAATGGCCTTCTGACAGAGCAGTCTGGGACTGGGATATGTGGCCCAATATCCAAATGACTCTAGACTCGGTAGATAGAGTAAGTAGCCTTGAAGGCTCAGCAGTCTGGAAGCACTGTTAACTCTGAGCTGAGATGGCAGGTCAGTGTGGAGCCTGTACAAGAGGTAACACACACCCCCACGAAGGGGAATGAGGTTTTGTCCTGCTGAGGACTCCTTCCCCAGCCACTGCCTCATCCAGGGTCTTTCACGGCCCCATCACTGTCTTCCAGCCTGCTCTCTTGCCTCCTCTAACCCTTACTCAGCAGCTCACATGGAAGCGGGGCCTCTAAAGTCCTCAGATCCTAGGCTTTTCCTCTAGAATGCCCCGTGGCTCCAGCTCAGCCTGGCTCAGTAGCCCTTGAGGGTCTGGCCTATGGCTCACCATTCACAGCACATCATGCTCCACTTCAAGCCTTTGGATGGTCATTTGTCCTGCTAGCCATCAAGAAGGGCAGATGGGGCTTAGCCTAGGAGTGCTCAGTATATGCCCATACCACCCAAGTGCTTGAGTTAGATGGCCTAGGCCTGGGGCAGGTGGTGGGGACAGGGTCTAGAGGACAGCAAGGGTTTGAGCCGAGAGAGGGAGGGTTTGTAGGAACACAGCTGGTATGAAAGCTGGGAGGCCCAGTGAGCCAGGCTACCCGGTATCAGCATGCCGCCTCAGTGGCAGGCCTTTTGAGGACTCAAATAGTTCAAGACAGGACTAGGTCCCGGAGGATGAGGACGGAAGTAGGGAGGTGTCAGGTGGGGATACTGAGAAAACATTGTGTACTTAATGAATGTGCAGGTGTAGCCTTGCAGACCTGCACCCCAGCTAACCCTTAGGGCCTGAACTCCTAGCTTCTGGAGCCAGGCCAGAGACAGCCCAACTTCCACTCACTGGCCAGGGTACTGTCCTGCAACCTCTGCCTGGTGGCTGGAGGCATATCCCTTCCATTTTGAGAGCTGCAGTCATGCACAGAGGACGCCCTGAGAGGCTACCAGATGGCGAAGGCTCACCCTGCAGACTTGAGCCTTTCTGGGCAATGGTTATTTTTTTTGTTTTTTAAAGAAAGGATCTCATGTACCCTGGGCTGCCTCCCAACTCAATCTGTATAGCCAAGGATATCCTTGAATTTCTGATCCTCCTGGTTCCATCTCCTGAGAACTGGGATTACAGGCGTGTGTGCCTCGTCTATCAGGTGCTGGGGGTAGAACCTAGGGCTTCGTGCATGCCAGGCGAGTGCTCTACCAACTGAGGCACTCTTAAGCCCTTCTTTGGGCCCTGAAAGCAGAGTCATCCTTCTGTTGGACAGTGCTAAATCCCCAACTCCTAGATCCTTTTTAGGGAATGAGGCTCAGGGTCCTTCTCCCAACCATGGGATGAGCACTCTCCAAACTCTCTCAGGCTCCTAGACCCCACCTTCCTTGAATGAAACACAGGAAGCCACACACAGCTCCCTTTTCCTTTTTTTTTTTCCCTTTTGTTTTTCTTTCTGGTCCAGTCCTGAAGGGACAACAACAATTGGCCTCTTGGTCCATCTGTCCATCTGTCCATGTCAGCAGCCCAGTCCCTGGTACCCAGTCACATGACTGTTTCCCACTCTTCCTGCAACAATGGAGGTGGCCGTGCAGACCCAGAGGCCTCCTCATCCAGGCCTGAGCAGGAGCCGTTAAGGAATCCATCGTCCTTGGGAACTGCCATAGTAATTGGTACGGTTTCATTCTCAGTGACTGGAGCCCCTGGCTTGGCATGGCCAGGCAGCTGGGAGTGGCCATTGGTGGTGGTGGCAGGCAGCAGGCGGGGGCTGAGGGGAAGGCCGAGTCCTGCACGAGGGCCTACGTTGGTTACGCTGGTGTGCGACACCATTGGCCCATAGCTGTAGCTGCTACTCCCACTCCGTGCTTTGCGCTTGAAGTCCAGGGCCAATGTCCAGCGGCTCCAAGACTTCCTGATTTCCGCTTGCACCTTGGGGACACAGATGGGTGGCAGTCGGGTGTGCCCTTAACCCTCGGGCCATGTGTTCTGCCCGACACCATCCCTGCAGTAAGTGGCAGGAGACGACTGGGAACACCAAGGTCCATCAAATCACACCGATCCTCAGAACACGGTGTTGGACAGCGGGCAACTGATGCAGCCAGCCACAGTCCAAAAGCTCTAATGGTCCCAAGATGGCTGAGCTCTCAGACTAAGGACCAGGGAGACACTTTGCTACAGCCACACATGGAGGAGCCCACACACCCCAGTCTATACTGAGCCTAAATCATCTTTGCCTTCAGAGTGTGGTCAGGAAGGTTCTTGAGGAGCAGAGAAAGAACAGGGGCCAGGGAGAGAATGAAGGGACAAGACTTGAGGAGCCCCTCCCCAACTCCTCCTACCTTGCCCCTGTGTCTACTGCTTACCTCACCATTGCAGAAACAGTATATGATGGCGACAAAAAATCCCTGTAAAGAGAGGCACATGCGGTCAGGACCACACCCGTCCCCACCCTGCTCCCCAGGACCCGGGGCAGGCCACGCACCTGGAAGGAGTTGAAGAGCATCTCATAGTGCATCTGGATCTGCCAGAGCGTCCCTGAGACCTCGGTGTACGGCAGGGCCATGAAGACAGTGTAGTGGACACCAAAGAGTGGTACGAGCACCAGCGTGGACCTGAGCAGCTTCCTGGCCGGTGGGGCATGCAGGTTAGGCCATGTTCTTTGCCCCACAATACAGCACCTCATTCCCCCCATCCCAATCAGGCCCAGGCTCCAGAAGTGATGGAAAGACCATAGGCTCTGGCTATGGTCGTCACCTGGCAACCAAGTTCGGCCAGGATGGCTTCTGCCAGGGGGCAAAGTGTTGGGCTTTTTGGTCCTGAGAGGTGTCCTCGAAGAGACCACAGGTGCAGCTGCCCTGGCCTTGGGCCCTTTGCACCTGCTGGCATGCACTCATTCTCCCAGGGCCCAACCTTTGGGTTTCTCCTGAGTGGAGGTGTTATTAGAGCCAACCGCTACCACCCGTCCCTCTGATTCCTGAATCCAGCTGTCGGAGGGTGGCTGGTGTGTGCCACACTAGCAGGTCCAAGCTCTGGGGCAAAGCTTGATACCAAGTGGCAGGGCACCACCCAGCACTGCTGTGCTGGCAGGGGTCGGGGTGGGACCACAGAGCCAGAGGCTCCACAGAGCACAAGCTCGGCCACAGGACTTTTGTCCTCTCTTGGGTACATGGTTCTGGCAACCAATAACCTGAACTCCACCCCAACTCCAAAGAGCCGGAACTCACCGGTACTGCTGCCTCGTATCACACCGGCCCGCATTGGTCTCCCGAAGCTTAGTGGCAAGCACCCGGATGATGTTGATGAAGAGGATGAAGTTGAGCTGTTGGAGGGAGGCTGCGTTTAAGACTGTACCCTAGTAGCACGGCACAAGAGCTCTTGGACCCACGCCACAGGCCCTACTCTGTCACTGCATCTTTAGATGGTTCCCAGGGCCCTCAGTTTCCCCATCTAGACTGGAGTAGGGATCATCTGGTCTTCAGGTCTTTTGGTTTCTGGTCCTTGGGGTCCAGGGCCACTGTAGATGTTCTTGTTTAGGGCTAGTCCCTGGGGCTCTTGCCCACACTGCCCCCAACTCCTGCTCACCACAACAGATGCCAGGATGGGCACCTGAATGATCCACTTCTTGTGCCCGGAGCTCAGGTCCCAGCACCTGGAGCGGGGTAGGGTGGAGAGGGGGGGATGAAGCATTAGTCATTGGTCCCTTCCTTATCAGCCAGCCAGCATGGGCCCCAGAGTTGGTCTGCTCTGATATGATCTGTCAAGGAACAGGACACGTGTCCATGCCCGAGGCACTCCAGGCCTCTTTGGGAGTTACCTCCTATAACTCTGAAGGGGTTCTTGGCTGAAAGCTGATCAAAATCCCCTGAGGCTGGCACTGCTGATGCCAGGGGTCTCCCCACAATTCACAAGAGAGGGAGCCAGAGCATCTCTAGCCTGTGTCAAGGTCCCTGCCCACCCTGCAGCCCTCTGCTGCTGGACCTACCCAGTGTTGGCCAGGGTTGCTCTGACGCCGACCCACACAGCCACGAAGACAGCTGGAAGACCTGTGTGTATGGGAACAGCGTGAGGGTTGTGCATTTTGCCCCAAACCCAGTGACTTTCCTCGGCTCACTGCCCCCCCCCCCCCACCCTAGGCACATGGCTATTTAATAATAGCCTAAGGACCTGAGGTGCCAGACCCATTTAGGTTCCGTGCTCCTTGTGAGTCCCTATGCATGCCTTCTGGGCATATGCTGAAATAATGTGGTATCAACACCTTATCCCAGTTCATTCTGCGCTGGGCTTGGAACTTCCATGGGGAGAGAGCCAGTGACTAGCATTTTTCTGTTCTAAAACTCCCTCTCCAAGCCTGGCATGAAAGGTCCTAGCCCTCATGATGAAGGTAGATAAAATGAAGTTTGTCATCAGGGGCTGGGCAGAGGCCATAGGGAACCCCAGGGGCCTGACACATGCTAGTCTGAGAAGGGAGCCCGGTTCCCCTCCTGGCTTTATTCCTAGCCTCGTGGATCCTTGGAGGGGAAGGGTGTCACCTGGGTTTGTGGTAAGGGTGTGACATTCCCAGATCACAAGGTTCTGTGTGCTCCCTAATCCACACGTTTCCAGCCCACCCAGACACCTAGCCCAGGAGCTTGTGTTAGTTCCTGGAATCAGGCCCAGACCTGCCCAGCTCTGGGGCTTGCCATGGTGAGGTCAGGGGCAGGGCATGTGCCAAGGGCCAAGGAGGCTGTGGAGACTGACCTGAGGGCTTTCTGGGTGCTGAGCCCAGGAGGCTCTAGCCACTGGCCCACCCCTCCACAGTCTGGCAGCTTTCCCCAGGGCCCAGCCAAGCTCGGGAGCTGCCAGCAATAATGGACCAATTATCAGTAACTGGATCCCTGAGCCTGCGGGGGGCTGGTAGGATCGCAGCATCCCAGGAATCCAATGCAGAGAGGCTGCAGAAGCTGCTGAGCGGCTGGGCCTGTAGCTCTTGACAGCGGGGACCTCACCTCCTGGTAACAGATACGAGCCCCTCCACAGGGCTCTGGGTAGAAGGAGGGTCTAGATGACATCCCCAGCCCCAGGCTAACTAGTGACTGAAAATCCCATTCTGATCCCAAGCTTAACCTCATCTCAAACCCAGTAATTATCACCCTAAGTGAGCTGAAATGCCCGGTCACGCCAACAGCTCTGGGTGAACCCTGCCCAAAGCCAACTTGAGTCCCCTAAACCTAGAACAGGGACCAAGTCACAGCAGGATGGGCAGGCCTCCGGTCTGCAACAAAACAGGAGGGACAGGACATGTAGTATGAGAGTGCCTTACTCCAGGTTCGCCTGCACCCTACCCACCACACTGGTCTCCGTACCCCAGCCAAAGATGGTGAAGCCCCACAAGTACTTCTTCTCTGAGAAAAAGGCCATGAAGATGAGGCTGTGCAAGTACAGCCCCTCCACCAGAATCCAGTAGTAGTTGGTGGCCAGGAAGTAAAGGAAGAAGGTCACAGCCACGCGGCAGCCAGCCTAGGAGACCAACTAGAGTTAGCCAAAAGGTAGAGAGAGCCTGCATCTTACAGGCAAGGGCTGGTCTGAGTTAGGGAGAGCTTACTCTGGGCTTCCAGGTTAGGACCTGGTGTGGGTATCGGGCTGTTAGCTGTCTGTTAGCAGCAGGTGGCCAGGTGATGAAGGGGGTGGTTGGGGCACTCCAGTGTGGAGGGAAGGGGGACACTAGGAGCCGTTAGCAGTAAGGCTGGGAGCTGAGCTGAGTTGTGTGAGGATCCCTGGGAGATGGGTTTGCAGGCCTGAAGCTGTGGGAGATTGCAAGAGACAGGCAGGTACAAATGGCACGGCGGGAGCCCGTCGGGGCCGAGGGGCACTCACGTAGCCAACGGCGGCAGCGGCGGGCGGAGGCGGCACCTGCGCGATGATATGCAACTCCTCCTCCGTGAGGCGCTCGGCCTCATCCAGCGTGAAGCCAGAGTAGAGCACTGCGTCCTTCACGAAGATGCTGGCGGCGCGCAGCATAAACGACAGGAACATGTGCATGTGGATGTAGTTGCGCGTGCAGTGCAGCCGCCTGCGGGACGTGCGACATCACCGTGGGTGAGGGCACCGGGGGTTGGGGGAGACGGGGGGGGGGCAGCGGTGGGCAGGAAGCTGGGCTGTGCGCCCTAGGTGGGGACATCACGCAGTGGGGATGGAGCCAGTGAAGCGGGGAGAAGGGAGGCTCGCACCCTGGACCCCTCCAGCCCCACCCCTCGCCGTCTTTGCCCTGCCCCCGCCCCGCCCCGCGCCCCGCCCACCTAAAATAGGCTAGGATGAGCACGGCCACGGTAAGGGAGGCAAGGGACATGGAGTATCCCACGGTGTAGATCATGCCTAGGCGGTCAAATACCTCCTGCGCAGGTGAGAGACAGAGAACTAGGGCTCAGGGTGGGCACTAAGAGCAAATTGGAGGACAAATTAGGGTTGCTGGAGAAGGAAAGGCTAGGAGTGTCGGCTGGGTCGAGGTTCACTAACGGGGTGGGGGTGGTGTTAAGGGTTCGCACCCGTTCCCGAGTCTCATTCGTCATGAACTTGAGGCACTCGCTGTAGTTGGCCCATGTCCGGTTGTGCCCGGGAACCACCTCCCAGCTGCCATTGCGGTCACAGCGTCTGTAGGCATGGCCTGTAGGGTCGTGGGGCAGTCAGGGCAGGCAAAGGCGTCCGGAGCCCCGGAGGCCCTGAACTCCACTTCATGGTATCCCCCTGGTTCTCAACCCATTTGGCTGGCCTCACCTTTGTGATTGAAGTCATAAATGTAGTCTGGACAGGGCACTGCCACCACTTCACCTGGTGCCCCTAATGGCCAGCAAACGATGTTGTCCCACTCTGGCAGGCAGGGGCGTCCTGTGCCCAAAGAGAAAACAGGGTAGGGGATACAGAAGGAGAGTCAGAGCCATAGTTAAGGGACAGGGGACAAGAACACACTTGTGGTTTGACTCCCACAGGGGCAATATATGCCCTGTGACTGGAAGCTTCAGGTTTAGAACATTCTGGAAAGAATATATTGAGTTCTTATTTCCTCCTGTTCCCTAAACCCACTGGCTTCAGAGAACTTACTGCAGCCCCTGTGATGAAGTACTGACATGAATCCCATTTTCCAGATGGTCTGGAAAGGGACAAGAGAGGTGGATAACATGTTGAGGTTACATGCCACAGGCCTTGGCCTCGAGGCCTCAGCTGAGCCTTTTCTCTCTCTGCTCTTGGTCCCACCTTCTAAGTGTCTAAGAAGGGATTTAAAAAAAAGACATTGTTTCACTATGTAGCTAGACCAGGCTGGCCTTGAACTCACAGGGATCCACCTGCCTCTGCCCCGAGTTCTGGGATTAAAAGTATGCACCACTACAACCAGCTTGAAGAAGAGCATTTTCTCAGATTTTTCCCCCCAGCTTGGAGGCTCCCTATGTGACCCTTCCCTAGAGACCACAGAAGAAGGAAGTCTGGTTCTTGGTGCCAGCTGGACTCCGAAAGCACTAGCCTCACACAGGTGTCCACTCTGCGTTTCCATTTCCTCAGTGGGAAGTTGACCATTATCAGCCTAGACGTCTACCATCCAGGGCTGCACAGAAGACCACGACCAACCACCACTCAAGAGGTGTACAGCCCTCCAAATCCAGTGGTAATGGGGGGTTTCAAAGGACAGTGATACAGCCCACTCTGGAGTCCTGGCAGCCATGCTAAATGACCTCAGAGGGTCCCCGGCCTCTAGATCACCCACATTCCGTCCCAGCTTACAGCCCCCCTCTCTCCCCCTGCAAGACTCTGACCACAGGACTCTAACCTCCCTGGAAGGCAGCCTTGATGGCTGGACCCGCCCAGCTCGGTGAAAGGCTCTCTGTCCTGGGCGCCATATTCCCAGCCCCACCCCGCCAGGCCCACAATTCCCTCTGGTCCCTGGGGAGCCACAGGGTGACCACAGGCTCCCAGATGTGGCCCATCTGGAATCTGCTGCCCACCCTGCTGGCTCTAACTGGCCTTGTGGCCACAGCTTGGGCTCTGTTTGTCTCTCCTCACCTCCCTGAGGCAACCCTGTCCCTCCCTCTGTCCTCTTCTCTCCTTGTCCCACTGTCTGTCTCCACCCCTCTGAGGCTGCCCTACCCTCTTCCCACGATGTGTCTTTCTGTACCTCCGTTGATATACCAAGTACCAGACTTTTGGTCTGAGCATCTTGTTGCCTGTGTCTCTCTACATCTCTCCCCGACTGTTATCTCTATCTTGGTGGGTCATGGGTTTCCTGGAGCTCTGGATCCTCTTCTGGGGAGTGCTGGGTGAGTCGACTGTGCACATTCTTTGTGTCCTGAAGTCACCCAGCTGACCTGCCTCCCCAGTCTCCTGCTGCCCCTGTGGCTGTCTCCTGGCCTGTTTTCCTGGGAAGGGAGCTGTGGTCTCTGACTTCCCACAGGAACCCACATGACTGGGACAGAAAGGTGGGGACAGGTGGATCTGAGCCTGTCAAATGGCTCCTGGGGAGGAGTAGAGGATGGGGGGACAGACATACCTCGGCGCCTGCTGCCAGTGGGCACCTCCTTGTTCTCTTTAGACTCAGGGTAGAACTTTCCCGAAGCCTTCTCTTTCCTGGGCTTCCCTGACGTGGATGCTGGTGTCCACCCCTTGTCTGAATCCATTATGTTGGCTGGAGAAATCAGGGCAGTTCTATCCATCAGCTGTGCTGTAAAAGCAGCCCTGGGTTGTTCCCCGCTCCAGTCCCCCCCCCCCCCCCTTTTTACAGTGAGCAGTTGACTCTACCAAGGATGCCGATACTCAGGTTGTTGGGCGACCAGAGATGAAGGATGAGTGCGTGACTCAGAAACTGTGAAGTGTTTGCCAGACAGAGAGACAGTCAGGAAGTGAAGTGGGTCAGCAGAGGTCCAAATGGGCATAAAGGCCATATGAGTGTTGGGACAGCAAGAGAGGGAAGGAAGGCTGGCAACCCGGGAGCCAGGACCACGAAGGAGTGAACGGCCCACCAGAGGGCGCATGGCAAACACTGGGAGCGATGGGGCGGAGAGGTGATGGTGAAGACCAAGTCAGGCGGCTAGGCCAGGGTGTGATGCAGGTGAGGAGGCCGGCGGGGAAGGACCAAGAGTGAAGACTGCATTGTGTCAGGAGCGCACGGACGAGTGCACCCACCCTGTCCTCTGCCCTCCGACACTCGAGTCTGGCTTTGCAGCGTCTACAAGTGCCCCGGAAGACACCACCTGAGCTGGAGCCTGGCCTTTCTGCCTCCTTAGCTGGAAGTCCTCACTGTCTGACTTGTGTGACTTCAGCTACAGTCCAAGCCAGGGTACCCCCGCCCCCATATCAGGCTCCGTGGGAAGCCGAATCCAGGCAACCTGGGCTGGGACGAGAATGGCCGTCACCATTCCCCTGCCTCCACCCTCGGGGAGGGGTTCCATGGTGGACGAGGAGTCAGAGATGTACACACACCACAGACTCCACAACTAGGAAGAGAGCCAGGTTTAGGATCAAACGAGGGGGCTCATCTGCCCCTACCCTTGATGCGGTTGGGAGCCACAGGTGGGGCCAGGGTAGGCAGGGCTCTGCATACAGAGTGAGTCCTGATGAATCTGAACAAGGTCCATGTGCTTCACAGAGAATCTGCCACCATTTGCTTGTGTGCTGGGTACGCACTACTGCTGTCTCCCCGTAACCCAAGAGCCGGCACCAGGGAGAAAGCTGCTCTGAGGGACGGTAAGTCAAGGTCTGGCCTCCTCTATTGATGAGACCAGCCGGACTTCAGAAGCCTGGCTGAATGCCAATGCAGCCTATATCTGCTTCCAGGAAATGGACTCAAGGAAGGGGGCAGAGAGGGGGCACCTGAGGTGAGGAGTCTGAACTGTGACTGGATGGGTGAAGCTTCCCTTCCCCATGGTAATGGTCCCTTAGAGATGCTGTGGGGAACCCCCCTCCCAGCAGGTCAAACAGCCTCTCCAGGCTATAGGCCGAGTCACACACACCCATCCCTGTCTCTCTATCCCACCTACCCCCATTTCTACCCTAGAGCTCTGTGTCCAGATGGTCTCTCAGGGACCTCCCCATCTTTCTAGACATGGCTTGGCTATCTTTTCTTTAGGGAAGTTGGCTCAGCCACCCTGTTAAGGCCCTGTACCCTCATCAAAGCTCCCCCCTTCTAAATCCACTGGGGCTGTGTGTTTGTCTGCCTTCCCATCTCCGTCTGCAAACGAGACACCCGCTTACATTTTAGGCCTTTACTATGGCTGGTCTCCCTTTACTAAGCCCACCCCGAGTTAACACCTTCAAACCCTCCCCACCCGTATCTCACGCACCCCCATGCCACCCCATCTCCCCACTCTCACCGGCTTTGCGCAGGACTTCCTTGAGCAGCTTGTCACACTGGGCCTGGGCGCGGTGCAAAAGGAAAATCTGTTCCTCTTTGGTAAAGACATCGTCGGCGTCCACCTGCCGAGCCAAAGATCAGACTGTAGGCAACATTTCCAGGTGAGGCAGCTGGTCCCAAAGTCAACCAGCCTCCCAGGGATTTCCCCCTCGGAGGTGCTCCCTTCAGAGAGGCTGGGGGAGGCCTGCCCCATGGGGGGCATGTGCCTTACAGAGCTCCCCTTTTAAAGCTCTGGAGTCATGGCAACACCAGGGCTGGGACCTGCCCCTTGCAGGAAGGAGAAAGGGATGGGGGCTGTCCCCTGTATGTCCAGCAGTAACCCAGCATTCATTGCGATGCTTTGTCTAGTCCATTCCCCTGGGGCACATGGGAACGGATGGAATGTCCCAGGATGGAGCCTCACAGGATCCTGGCTGCCTGCTGGGGACCTGGGGTTGGATCTGGAGTGCTGAACTCTGAAGGGACAAACCCAGCCTGAATTCCTTCAAGTCTCAAGGCCTCTGGGGACCATGGCAGTCACCATTTTCCATCCTGGCCCAGCACCCAGTCAGTGCTTTTCCCAGTAAAGGACAGGGTCTCACCCTCCCTTCTTGGGGTCTCCAAGAGGGAGAGTGGAAGAACCGCTGGGAGAGTAGCTAGGGGACTCGCCAGACCCCCACATGCAGCACTAGGAACGTTCATCCCACGGGAAGTTCCTCCACCCCAGCAGATGCTGCCGAGCTGTGTGACCAGGCCCAGGCCTTTGCTCCTGCTGACCTCTCTGCAGGAATGTTCCCATTCTCTTTCCACTCTATACACCCACTGGGACCCAGTAACATCACTTTAACCAGGGAAAAGGGAACAGCGTAAGGGTAGGGAATAGTCTCTTGCTGAGCTGGTGGCTGCTGGAGAGGATCTGAGTCTCCCCTGACTTGGAAGCTGGAGCCAGCATCCTGCCTGAGAGCAGTCCCTATCCCGACCCTGAGTACGACCTCTAAGGGCTCACACCCCGGGATAGGCTGTGATGCTCTGGGACAGCCCAGGGCTGTCAGACCTCTCGGCCCTGAGACTCACCTAGAAAGGCTGCCTCTGCCTTAAATCAGAGAACACAGCCTGATCTCCCAGAACAGGCAGCGCGGCAAGCCCGTGCCGGGCCGTGTAGGCGGGTCTCTTTAGCAAGGGTGGAGCTACGAGGGGCAGAGAATTTGGAGGCCTGGAAGGAAGGAGGCGGGTCAGGCAGGGGGCGGGCGGGAGGGGGCGGACGGCCCGGGTCAGGGAGTCCGGCTGCAGAGAGAAGTTAATTGACCGCGTCTCTTGGCGGCAGCAGCTCGGGCTTTCAGGCCAAGGAGTCTCCAATTGGCTCCGCGGAGTTGAGTCTTGCTGGTTTTACTTAGCGGAGGCGCGCGAGCATCTCTGCGCGTGCGTGTGACTGGCCGCGCACCCGCTGTCTGGCCGGTGGGTAAACTTCTGTGTGCCCCATTTCTGTAAGTCCTCACATAGGAACCACCTAACATGTCTATTTGGGCCCTGAAGCCTGATGTGTTTGTGAACATGCACGTGTACACATGCTTGTGGACAAAGGACTATGTGTGGGCTTCTGTGAGTGTTGTAGAACTTCTCAACATGCATGCCTGTGTCTGCTGCTTCCTGAGCCTGGGTCTGAAATGGACTCTTGGGACGCAGCTAGTCTTAACGCCTAGGAGTCCCAGGAAGGCTGAATCGGATTCCAGTGTGCTGCTGACCCCATGCCTCTCACTGTCTTAACCACACCTATGGCAGAGCTGGTTGGTGCAAAGTAGTAAGGACCAGATAGGACAAATTGGCTTGCTAAGATCCAGGGACCTCCAAAGCCACCCTGAAGTTCTCCTATGTGTCTGACACTGGGGATTGGGCTACTAAAGGGTCCGTTTCTTACCCACCTCACTCCTATCACAGCATCTACTCACTACCATTCATTCTATCATTGCAGTTAATATCGCCATCGATTACCACCCTTCCATTAGCACCAACATAACCACCACCACTGCTGCCAGTACCATTCCCACCATAAACACTACTGTTACCATTAACACAGCCACCATTACCATCATCATCAATGGCATATTCGAGCCAACACCACTACCACCACCATTACTAAAGCACCACCACACCACCTCCAGAATGGCTACTACCACCATCTGCCTACCTCATCACCATCAAGACCAGAATCACCACAGGCAACATCAGCACCATCACCAATATTACCACCTGCCCATAACCACCATCTGTCATTTCTCCCTCCCATATTCATTTGTCTACGACCCCTTCCTTCTGCCCATCTCCTCCCCTCCCAAGATACAGAATCCACCGTAGTTTTCTCCCAGTTAGTGGAGTGCTCTTGAGTGACTGACTGGACCTCCCATTGGTCTCTAAAGACTAGCTGATGCATCAGCTTCCTAATGGCTGGCTAGCCACTGATGTGACCAGGGAATATAAGCTAATGGCCTAGATTAGAGGGAAGAGGTCATGGGTTGAGAACTGTCCAGCTGACAACAGAGACTGACCACCGTGCCCACTCAGGCGCCTCAGGTGGGGGTAGGGGTGTCTGTTTAACCTTCCAACTGTATAGTGATATTTTATTTGTACTGAAATGTGATTTGTATGTTAATAAATAAAGTTGCCCGGGGGTCAGCGCTATTAGCAAGCCATAGCAAAAGCTGGGTGGTGGTGGTGCACGCCTTTAATCCCAGCACTTGGTAGGCAGAGCTAGGTAGGTCTCTGTGTGTTCAAGGATACAGCCAGCATTGGAGACACACGCCTTTAATCTCAATACCAACCATAGAAGACCTGGAGGTCTGTACAGACAGGCAGTGACTAGGAGGTCATGTGGTTGGGTTTACAACCAATGAGAAGGCAGAACAGAAACTCTATAAAAAAAAAAAGACAAACACAGGAAGTAGCTCTTTCGGAGAGGTACAGCGAGAGGGGTAAGGTTTTTAGCTCTTAGCTATTGCTCTGACCTCTTGGCTTTCATCTCTGTATTGGCTCTGTGTTTCTTATTTAATAAGACGGTTGGTTACATCTACACACCTGTTGTTAGCTCCCCATTTTACAGTCTTATCTGGACAGGGAAGGCCATATGCTTCTAGCATCCTCCTCCACAAGCCTTCATCCACCCCCAAGGACTATGGCCCTGTCTCTGCCCTCCCTGGGCGTTAAGACCTACTTCTCTGTCATCCCAATCAGAACAGAGCTGCCACACAGGAAGAATTGCAGCTCAGAGTGAGGAAAGTACTTCTCCAAGGGGAAGAGGCAGCCCTCTACCCAGAGCATCCCAGCCTCAGAGCACAGCTCCTCACCTGGAATGCCCAGATACCCTTACTGTCTTTCAGCCACACCTCTGGGATTCCATACTAACACTGGAGTCTCAACCCCACCTCTACCACTGACTAGTGTCTCTGGCAAAGTTGCTTACGCCCAGTGCTTTAGATTTCCTGTAAAATCAGAATAACAGTAAGGCTACTGTGGATTTAAATGAAGTACTGCATCCAAAGCCTGGGCAGGGCAGGCTGAGGAAAGCTGGTTGCTGTTATAGCTACTGTGAGCAATGGGACTAACTCACCACTCCCATCCCACCCCAACCTCTTTGTCTACAGGGGTCCACAGCAAGGGGCTGGTGGGCTGTGGGATCCTAGAGAGAACTGAGGGCCAGGAATGGGGCCAGTGCTGGGTGAGGTGTGCCTGGATAGCTCCCTGAACCCACATCATCATTCAAGGTCACTGACAGACCCCCAAGTTTAGGTTGGACATAGGCAAGATTATCAGACCTCTATCCTGGTCGAGGAGGGATGACAGAGGAGCTACTGTCAACTCTGACTAGCCCACACATCAACACTGTCTGCGACTCCCTTCCCCCTCCCAGCCCAGTCGCCTGCTTCCCCTCTAAGAGTGCCGTCTTCTTGGCACAGCTCCAGAGTAGGAAGAACTTAGACCAGCATCTTTTTAGATCCAGAATCTGTATCTTGGGTCTCAGGAACAAGACGGAGGAACTAGGGGTTGGGTCATGGCCAGATGCCACTCAGTCCATACTCACCAAGTGACAGGGTCACCAGCCCTGGCACCAGCTGTCCTGCATACGGTCTTCCACTTTATGGATTAGGGCTGACAGTCTCTCAGACCCGCCTGTCATAACACCCTCTCCAGCAGCGCAGCATAGAGCCTTCTCATGCACACACAAGCATGTTTAGAGTGTGTGAACTTGCAGGGGTGGCATACAACTCTAGCCTTGAGCTGGGAGGGCAGCCTGCAGACACTGAGACAGGCTCGTGAGGGAAGCTCCAGACAAGACACAGACAGACGGGCTGAAGTTGGCATGCTACTTACAACCCTGGATGTTGCTGACCCCCGTGTGGAGGATGTGCTGTCAAGAGACCTGGTGTATTTTGTCATCCCCAAGCTCAGGTGGGGTCTCGATCTCGTGATCTGAGATCTTCCAGTTCTGCACACTACACTGCAGGTGGACACTGCCATGCCTGGCTAAGATGTTCTAATTTAGCTTAGCTCCCAGGGAGCCCCTCATACGGATGGCGAAGCGGGAGGTAGCAGGGTGCAGACCAAGGCTGGTGATGGTGATGATGGTAGAGACGGCGGTCCATACCATCACCAAATGAGGCCACTCCTCCTAGCTTCCTCCCCTCCCTGCCACAGTCTACACATCGGCACCTGTGATCTCAGACGTGTCAAAATTCTACCCCTCCGGACAGACCCGGAGGAAATGAAGGGGTCTCTTTTTCAGTTGACACTTGTGCTTCTGTGCAAGGGGCATCTATGGCATAATATTTTCTTAGCAGGATGCCCTCTTGGGTCACATCAGCAACCCCCTTGCCAGTGTCAGCCTGGTCCCCTAAGGGACAGTGTGCTTTGCTTCTTTGCCTGCCACTGGCGAAGGCAGACATATGTGGTGTTTGCCCCTGGATGTTCCTGTCCCACAAGACCCTCTGTGTCTGCTGGCACTCATGACCACCTCGCCTTCTACTACATACCCATTTTATAAAAAGGGAGACTGAGGCCTAGAGAATAGCTAGAAGGAGAGGGCCAGGAGCAGAGCTAAGGTGCACTTTATACCAAAGCAGTAGTCTCGGAGCAAAGGACATACACAGCTACACGGATGCTGTGGCACCAGCCATAACACCATCTCTCCATTGGATTGTATGTTGCATCTGGCGTGTATGTAACCTTTGTTGCATCAAGCAAGCATCCACAAAGAGGACTGACTCAGTGGTAGAAGTAGCCATAGAAGTGAGAGGGGCCACAGATGTTGGGATGCAGCTGGCCCCTCTAACTGGGAAGAGCACAACTGGACCTTGGTGTTAAGTGAGGATGTGAATGACTCCAGCAAAGTAAAAAAGAAATACTTGGCTCTCAGGAGATCCCTTCGTGACCTTGTGGCCTTCCTGCACCCCTTCTCCAGGTTCCACTACTAGGACCCATGCTGGCACCTCTCGCCATTTCCCATGCCATCTGGCTGGGGACTGTTCTTTTGTCCCTTGCTGCCCTCTGTCCATCTGGCTGGCCACGGCAGGCTGGGACGGGCTCCTCATCCTGCCCCGCCACCACTGACAAGTGCTGACTTTTCCTCCCCCTTGCCAGGCCTTCCTGAACAGGCTGCCTGTGTTTGGGGCTGGGAGGGGCTGGGGGAGGCACTGTGACGCCTCTCATCCCAGCCAGCCAGCCAGCGTGGCCGCCTTTGGGGCAGGCGGTGGGATGGAGCCTGGGATGGCAGAGCTGGCTGCTAGGACAGGGTGGATCTTCACAGGCAGCCTCTACCTGAGCTAGGCAGGAGGTCCAAGGCCCAGAAGGATGGGATGGCCTAACCTAACCCTAGCCGGGTCAGCAGAATGGGATCTCACTAGCTCTCAGCTCAGGCACAAGGTTGGCCCCAAGCTGGGGTTCCAGAGGACTTGAGAGGTCTCCAGCGTCTGTGAACCTGAGCAAACTTTGCACTGTCTCCTAGTCAATTGAAAGACAATTTCAAGGTTCTGTGAGAACCCCACCGTACCTTTTATTTTTCCTGGGGCACTCTGAAATAGCTGCCTTCCTGATGTGGTAGCTGGACCAGGGAGTGTCCCCAGAAGGCCCACAACAGGAATCTGGGGGAGGCTGCTTGACGCCTCATTAAAACATTCCGAAGAAAACCCAAGTTCCCGGGAGGGCCTGTGCCCCTCGTCCACTGCTCTGCCCTCAGGCAGTTCTGGGAGTTGGGGGGCAGGGGAAGAGGATGTGTTTAAGGGCAGGTGATATAAAAAGCTTCGACAAATCAATACAAGCAAGATAAATAACTCACAGAAAAGATGGGTAATAGCTCTGAGCGAGCTCTCTGGGCAGTTGGATAATAAACAAGTATAAAATCTGAAAGTCATGGGCAGAGGGTAAATTAGGATGACAGGAGACACCGTTTTTCACCTACGAAAATACTAAGATGAGACAAAAGGGCCCCTCACTGCATCCTGTGAAACAGAGCCGAGCAGGGAGGGCCCTGTGGTCAGTCCTGGTGAGTATAAACCAGCACAGCTTTTTAGAGGGCAATTTGGCCATGCCTATTAAAATGAAAAATGTGCATGTTCTCAGACCCAGCAAAGACAAATTCTAGAAATATCCTACCGGGAAATGGTCACATGGTGAACCAAGAGGGCATTTCAAGGAGCTTCTCTGCTACCATCTGGAACTTCTCTCACATGTACACACTCATGTGCACACACATGCATGCACGCACGCACACACGCACGTGCGTGCACACACACACACGCGCGTGCACACACACACAGACACACATACATGGATTGTGAAGAAAGGATCTGAATGTGCATTCCTCAGGAATGTTTAACGAAGTTCAGACTTTGGAATAGTATACAGGATTAAAAAGGACTTGGAGAGATGGCTCAGTGTTTAAAAGCACTGGCTGTTCTTCCAGAGGACCCAGGTTGGATTCCCTACAGCATATGGTGGCTCACAACTGCCTGTAACTCCAGTTCCAGGGGATCTGACGTCCTCTTCTGGCCTCCTCAGGCTCTGCATGCATACGGCGTACAGACATGCACACAGCCAAAACAGTAAGCATACAATAAAATAATTTTTAAAAAACAGTTTTGGAGGTTGGAGAAATGGCTCTGTAAGAGCACATACTGTTCTGGCAGGGGACCTAAGTTCTGTCCCCAGGACCCACTGCAGGCAGCTTAAAACAGCCTGTAACCCCAGCTTCAGGGGATCTGACAGGCTCTTCTGGCCTCCTCAGGCACTGCATACATACACAAAAACCCACACACCAACACAAAAAATATAAAATACGTAATTTAAAAGATTTACATTCACAGGAAGATGCACCTTTGGGTACAATGACGCACATGTCACAGAGCCCTATGGAGAAAGCTTGCTGGACTTATTTTAAAACAAATGGAAAACAAGAGACATTCCTCTACTTGCTATGTATACAAAGAGGTGCCATACAAAGAGAGACAGAGACAGAGGACCCTCCCCAGACTATCAAAATGTCTTTCTCTAGAAAGGGGACTGGGATTGGACAGTGCCCAAAGAAAACTTCTGTTTTCTCTGTATCATTTGAACTCTTGGGCTGCGGAGATGGCTCAGGAGGAAGGCGCTTGCTGCTCCCAAATGAAGACTAGAGTTTGGATTCCCAAACCCACATAAAGACGAACCAGAGACTCCTCAGAAGCCTGAGAACCAGCTAGCCTGGTGTGCACAGCAGCACGCCAGACAGACCTTGTCTCAAATAAGGTGGAAGGCGAGGACAACACCCAGGCTGTCCTCAGACCTTCAGACCCAAGCACATGCACGCATGTGCACATTTACAGAGATTAAAATAATGCAAAAACAATTATAAATAACATGTGCTCACATATTAGTCATGAAATAAACAATTAAAAAGGTAAGATAACAGAGATTTAATTTTTTTTTTAAGAAGAAAAGAAACCCCAACGTGACACAGAGGGACCTCTTGCCTAGAGTTGACCTTCACCTCACTTAGAGGAAAGAATCCTCTAGAAGTCTGAGTCCTGGGTTCAAATGGTTCAGATCCTCTTCTGCCAGCCTTCCTACGTGAGCCTCAAGGTCATTTCCCCATAAAGTGGCCAGGGCAATGGGCAGGATGAGAAAATACATATATATATGGCAGGTTCTCGCTCAGACTCTATGGAAAGCTACTGCTCGATAAATGTTCTTACTTTGAAAAGCAAGCACCTTGGTCTGGCAAGATGATTTAGCAGGTAAAGTGCTCTCCATCTGAGCCTGAAACCTAAGTTCAATACTTGGAACCTACATGGTGGGAGGCGAGAACTGACTCCCGCAAGCACTCGTAAAACACACACACACACACACACACACACACACACACACACACACACACACACACACACAAATGTTAAAAAAGTTAAGTACCTTCTGAGCTGCCCCCCTGGGCTGGTTGGAAGAGGCTGCCTGCGCAGCCAGCCTAAGAGACCACACGTTCTCTGTGGAGCCCTACCCAAGGGTCATATCCCACACTCAGGCCTGCCTCGCTGCTGACCATCACATTCATGAGAGCTGAGGGCTCTCTAGGGTGTCTGTAGGGTAAAGGATCTCAAAGGACAAGACCATCCTCTTGCCTGCTCAGAAGCTGTGGGCCTATCCCCCCATCTAAACTTCACTCCTTCAGTGCTCGTCTCTGGGCTACTCTTCTTTGTGACACAGATGGACCAGCTGAGTCCAGCTGCGGTCAGTGTTCTCCCAGTGGGATGCTCGTTGGTACCCCAAACAAGATCATGGGAGAAGTGAGCCTGGCCTTGGATCTGGCTGAGTAGGTAGTCTATAGGTTTGGTGACAGCTGAGATAGACGGGCTTTGTCCGTACCTGTACATACACATCTGGACATAGCAGATGTGTATGCTATGGAAAGAGAAATGGGCTTAGGAAAGAGAATGGGCAGGCTGCCAGTTGTTTGCTGACTCCAGCTGAGCCCAGGGATCCCACAGGGTGGTGGGTTGGTGGGTTGGCCGAACCTGTCCCTCAGACTAGACCCCTTAGACCGGAAGCAGGAGATGGTCCACTGCACTCACATGCCCCAGCAAGGTCCCCGCAGAGCCACACTGGCATCTGTCCTTCTGTCTTCAGTGCAGGGCCCTCCTAAACCAGGAAAATTCTCTGCATATACCTCAACTTCCACACAGAGCGTTCTGGAGTCCTAGGGGCTCCCCTCCACCACACACAGTGAGGTACAGGGCTTAGCACCCGATTAACATCAGACACACAATGGTCATAGTGGATCTGGATGAGTTAATAAAAAACAGGGAAAATACCTTCCTCAGAGGGTTGTTGGGAAGATTAAACTAGCTGATCTGCGTAAAGTGCTTAGAACAATGGACTGGCAAAAACAGAAAACAAAGAAGCATATGTTAAAATACAAATAAGCAAACAATAGACCTGTGTGCACACACACTCACAGGGTGCACGCATGCGTGCACACACGTGTCTACAACTGTGCATCCCTCGGAAGCTTCAGGTACATGTGGACCTGAATACACACAATCCCATGGACCGACCCAGATGCCCACAAAGCCCTATGCTGATGGACACACAGCCACACACTCAGGATACCTTACCCATCAGCCGGTCTACCCCATGCACATGTATGTGCACACACACAGAAGTCACTGAGGAAATCAGCAAACAGCTCTGCTGCCCGTGCTTGGAGCATCTCTGGAACAGCAAGCTCAGGCCCTCCGAACTTGTTTCCCTGTGTACAAGTTCCTTTCTGGGGCAGTCTTTGGACCAGAATAGGGAGGGTATGGGCCTGGTAAATAGAATGTGGGGGACCACAGAAGGAGAACAGCAAACGGCAAGGTTGTTCGGCAAATGTTTCTCATGCTCTCTTTTCACCGATGGGCAACTGAGGTGTGGGGAAGGACAATCCAAGGTCACACAAGCTGTAGGCTGAGCTGGAGGAGTCCCAGACCTCCCCTGTCCTCGGATCAGAGGCTCTGTCCTGTGGAGGAAGCTGCTTGCCCTGTCTCTCTAGACCTGGGTCGGGGTTGGGGTACGGAGGCAACAAGACCTTAAAGTCAGGCACAGAAGCTGATTCCAGAATGGGCTGGACAATTCAGATAGGACCGCTGTGGGATAGGAGAGGATGGAAAACCTCCCCTCTCTGGGAAATGGCACCCAGACCCTAGCCCAAGATGGGATCATGATTCCCCTTAGTGTCTCCAGCTCTCCACTTGTCTTTGCTGTCCTGAGTCTGTCCCTGCAGGGGTCGGAGCTCTCACCCTAACTCGGTCTCTCTCTAGCCCTCTTTACTAGTCTATCTCCTGGTCTCCATTCTCAGACCATGCACAGTACCCCTAAAGATCAGCTCACTCGTCAGAATACCCCACACACAGCACGCATCTTCTGTAAGGTGTACTGTGAGGTCTGTCTTTCAGGGGACCTCTATACCACACCACACCCACCTCCCCGGGGCAAACGACTTCCACTTCGGACAAAGCTGTCCCATTAGTGCATACCTCTGTGTATCTGTGGGATCCTGAGAGCTGGAGGGGGCTCTACACCCTATCCTCGGTCTATGGGATTTTCAGACTTCTTGCACACTGCTTTGAGCACCGGGTGCAAACAAAACTTGCGAAAGCAAAGGCCCCCAACGCAGTCTATGGCACTCCACACCCAGAGCCCGCTGGATCACACTGTCACCACCGAAAGAGATACATACGACCAGAGCCGTGTGCTCACAGAAGCATGGTGTAGGGAAACTCCAACCACAGACTTCCAGACCCAGGACCCCAAGCCAAGTCTTCAGAAGTGGGGAAACTTCAGGCATCTGGAACCTACGGTAAGTAAGACACCCCAACGAGAGCAGGCACCAGGATTCCTGGTTCACAGCGGCGACGGGTGTGGGGGGGCACCATCCCAAAGTTCAGACTATTAGAAGAACCCAAATCTTTGCGCCTCCACTCGCCCAAGGACCCCAGAGCAACTCCAGGATTCTTGTGTTTGAATGTAGACGGAGAGGGACTTACCAGCGCATATGCGGAGCTGAGCACTGGGCAGCAGAGCAGGAGCGCCAGGCCGGGTGCGATCCGGGCGGCCCCCATCGCCACCGCCTAGGGCCGCGTCCCTCGGGGCAGCCGCCGCCGGCCCTGGTGATGGTTGGAGGGTGCAGAGCTGTGTCAGGCCGGGCCGCCCCGCCCACACCCCGTCCTAGGGGACCCCGGCGTCCGGGCGGCCCGAGGCCCCGGAGCCCGGTGCGGGGCCCATACGCCGAGGGCGAGCGAGAGAACCAACCGGCGCAATGGAGAGAGGGAGGGCGGAGGGAGGGAGGCAGCCTGAGGCCGGGCGGGCGGCGGGCGGGCGCCGAGCGCTGCTGAGCGGCCTGTCTGCCTCGGAGCGGAGAAATCACATCCATATGGCTGGGCCCCCCGCCCCCGGCCCGCCCCCCGCTCCCCTCCCGCGCCGCCTTTTCTTTCTTTCTTTCTCTCTGTCTTTTTCCCCCCTCTTCGGGGGAACTGGGAGCCGTGGCTTCACTCCACGCCCAGTGGGGGAGGGGCGGGGGAGGGGTCGGGGTCGCGGTCTGCGGGGGGCGACCAGGCTGTTATTTTTAGCTCCGCGGCAGTGGGCAACAGGGGAGTCGGGGCGGGGCAGGGGGCGCGTTTTGAGTTGCGCGGGGCGTGCAACGACGGGATGCCCTCCCGACTTTTGCAACGACACTGAGCCCTTCGGGGTTCCTGCCGCCAGCTCCGGGCTCTCCGGAGGCACTGCGGCCGGGCTCCCCAGACCAGGCTGGACCCCCATGCCCTCGGCAGCCACCTCCTGCACCCCATTTCCCATCCTCCGAACCCGCGCCGCGTGCGCCCAAGCGGCACGAGCGCTTCTGCGGCCCCGGCGCTGGGGCAGCCCGTCTGCTTGTCAGTCGGTCTCTAGCTAGCGTCGTCCCCCCCCCTCTCCGAACACTCCCTCCGCCCTCGTTCCCCGGCCTTGGCCTCTGCTATTCCAGCGGCCCCAAGCTCGGTTTCGGTCACTCCCTCGCTTCCCCCCTCCCCTCCTCTACGAAAACATTTGCAAGTTTCCAAAAAAGCCACCGAACTGAGCGGCAGCGGGCTGGCGACTCCACCGGGCTCCGAGGAGGCGCCGCAGACTGACACCGAGACCGAGCAGCCGGGCCCGCCCTGGCCGGGCCCCGAGTCGCTCCTGCCCCACTCCGGCCTCCCGCGCCCCGCGCGCCCGACCCTACCCCCCAAGCCCCGACTTACTCCGAGCACGCCGCCGCGGCCCCCGCCTTGCCATGAATGTCGGGGCCCCCCCGACAGCCTCCCCAAGCCAGCGCCCCGTCCGCGGCCCCGGGGGGACTTCATGGAGCTCTCGGGATCCCCCCTGGCCTGCCTGGCCTCCTGAGCCCCCCGCCTGGCCGCTGCTCGGAGCCGCCGCCCGCCTCGCCGCGTCCCTCGCCTCGGCGTCTGCCGCTCCCCTCCCCCCGCAGCCCGGAGACTCTTCCCTCCCCCGCGCCCTCCCCGGGCCTCCTCCGCCCCTGCCCCCTCCACCGCCTCCCGGGCGGGTGTGTGGAGGGCAGAGCCGAGCCCGTCGCCCCCCACCCCGGGACATCTCTCCAGAGACCCGGCCCGGGGTCTTTCGGCAGAAGGATGAGTGTTGGAGGCACGGAGTCTAGGGAGCTCTGACATTGGGACCTGAGAACCGGGGCTGGGACGCTGTCCCCGCTTTTGCTTTATTCTCTCTCTCCTTTGGAAAAGTACAGACCACCCATCACCCCCAGATCGTCCAGCCCTAGAGATGAGCAGGCGGGCTCCAGGAGCGGAGCCACTGGGGAGGCCGCCTAGTACTTCGCACGCCTAGAGCCACGGCACTGTCCGTGCACCGTGGGGTTCCTGTTCTGGCTGTGTAGGGACCCTGGGGAAGCTGCTCCACCTCCAGCCAGAGTCAGGCTATGCAGCCAACGCCCTCGCGTCCCGCCCCGCCCTTGCCAGGTCCTCCATCCTCTGTCCCATCCCTGGTCCTGGGGTGTAGCGATCCGAGAACCACATAGTGCTCCTCCTGCCTAGGTCTGGAGCTTAGAGGGGTCCCTTTCCAATCTGGGTATCTTAAGATGTCTCGACCTATCGGCTGCTTACCAGGCATCTCCAGCTGTCCCACCTAGCCCAGTTCGGGCGATTCGAGGTTACAGGACTTGGGGCTCAGCTAGGACATCCACTCTTACACTTCACCTCCCTCCATCACGCCGGCTCCCAAATGCTGGTGGCTGTTTTGGGACCCTCGACGTGGGGAAAGAGAGAGGAGTGGTGTGTGTGTGTGTGTGTGTGTGTGTGTGTGTGTGTGTGTGTGTGTGTGTGTGTGTGTGTGTGTAGGTTGAGGCTAGTAAGGGGAGGTGGAGTTTATGTACTCCATGCTGGACCCCTGGGTCCTAGACTTTGGACTTCCAAGCCTACCACCTCCTTGAGTACCAGGTAGGGAGCATCAGGCAGCAGAGAAGGTTGGAAGTGCTTGGAACAGAGGGGTAAGGAAAGGCCTGGTGAAGGAAGTATGGTGCCCTGAAAAATACCACCCGGTTAACTGGCACCCTTGCTTGCTTACTTACCAATTCTGTGTTCGAATCACTAGTACTCTCCGGGGGTCTTGGTCTCAGTTTTGACATCTGCAAAATCGGGGAGATGTCCAGCTTACTCAAAGGGACAAACTGTGCAAGCCCGTGAGCTCCAGGGGCTCTCCACAAGCATTCTATGCAAATGAGCTCAGCTCTCCCTGACAAAAAGCCTTTTCTCCATCTCAAGGATGGCCCCGTCCTTCGGTGAGAACCGGAACTCACGTCCACACTGCCTTCCTCAAACATGCTTCTGCCATGCGCCTCTTCTGTGTCCACTGCTCTTGAGTTTCTTGTCCTGGTGTTCAAAGACTGCTATTTCCTTCAAAGTGACTGTTCCCAATAGTTACAGTCTGCTGGACTTCTGGTCTGCTCACGCTCACACCTCTGTCTGGTTTTTCGGTTTCCCTGTCAGGATCTCACTCCTTCGTTTGGTATGGAGAACACGTGTCCCTACTTGTGTCCCCACATCCTCAGTAGTACTGGGTGGGAGCTCAGTTCTCTCTTGTATGGTATGCCTGTTCTTTGAGAATGGAAGAACACAGTGCTATATGCTTTGATGGTCTCAGTGTTACGTGTTTCTAAATGACCCAAGTTTCATGTGATGGTGACGGCTGTCTTTTCCCTTGGTGATGAGAAAAGAACATACTGGAATCAAGAATGAGAGCCATCTAGGAGTTGACCGGGCAGAGTTCCTAGTTCTAACAATAGAAACCTCTTGACTTGTACTTTGGGCTGGGCATGGTGGTGCACACCTTTAATTCCAGCACTTGGGAAGCAGAATCAAGCAGATCTCTGTGAGTTCGAGGCTAGCCTGATCTATATAGTTAGTTACAGACTAGAGCTACATAGTCTCAAGAAAATGAAACAACAAAAGAAAGCTAAGCTTTGCCCTTGGGTGGACCAGGGTGGGCTGTGGCAATTGCTAGAGCGGTGTGATGGTCTCTGCGTCCCTTGAGGGCATTTCCCTAGCTCTATCAAGTACCTCACCCCAGAGTTCCCTACTAGACATTCCACACTATGATCACCCAACTTACCCTCAGGCCCCTGGTTAAACTGCCACCTTCGGAATGGGGCGAGGGATCGCATATTAACTAGCAGCACACCAGGGTTGGGTAGAGCCAGCCTTGCCCTTTGACTGGCATGCCCTGGGCTGTAGGGTCAGTTTCTGGTTTGTTTCAGATCAGTTTTCAATGGAGTTGGGAAAAGTAAGGCCAGGAGTAGGGAGTGGGTCTGTGTTTTTCTCTTTGATCCCCAGTTGGGACTTAGCAGGAGGAGATAAGATGGCCACCATAGCTCAGGACCAGAGCAGTGTCTGGACTCTGGCTCCACCTCTGCTGGTGTGGCAGCCGCGGACGGATAGGCCTCTGCTGCTACCAGTCTGAGTAGGGCTCTAGCCAAGGTACACAGAACCTGGGGCCACTTGGACCGTCAGCCTTGCACAGTCCTTCCAGCTCTGTAGCCTGGCCTTACTCTCTCAGAAAACCCCTTGTCACCTGCCTGGAAGCTCTGTGGAACCAGGAGCCCACATCTGGTTCTGAGACACCACCCTTCATCCCCATACTTCACCCCCAACTTAGCCCCAAAGTCACTTGCATGCCAAGATTAGCCCTGCTCCAGACTGCTCTGGCCCCACAATGAACCTGACCCCAGGTTAAGCCTTTATCCCAGTCTGATTTACAACCCGTGGCTGAACCCTGACCTCAGATCAGGATTCCTCCCAGGTTTCAAACCCCAGACATTTCTCTCGTTACCGGTCCCTCTGGAAACTTTTTGAGCCAAGAGGCCAGTATAGGATGGGGTGGCCAGGCCATAAGTGAAGCAAGGTGCCACTTTTACAGCCATTTCGGCTGCTCATAAACACTCCCCTACCCAGCTGAGTCACTGAAGGCTTCCATAGCAGCTGGCTGGGCAACCCCCCTGCTCTTGCAGCAGGGTCTGGCTTCTCACCTCCAGGAAGGTGGAGGGAGGGAGGGAGAGGGAGGATGGGGGCCCAGGAGGCCAGGAGGCTTTGTCTCCATCAGGACACACTCCAAAGGCTTCTGCGGGGATGGACTTCCTCTGGCTGATGTCATGGTCACAGGTGCCTTGCTGTCGTGGACA